CTTGTGTAAATCCTAGTTACGCAAAAACAGAGAAACAAATAGAGGACGTTATCAGGAAGGCTATTCCAGATTTTGGGAGCCAAATGCAAAAAAGCTCGAGAAGCATGTAAAAATAAATAAATAAAAAATGGTTTTGCCTCAAGAAATCATGTAACTAATTAATATGCTCCGAGAAGAAAAGAACTGTTGCTCTGGTGATTCTGAAATGCTGGAGCCAAAGCCTATCATCAAAATAATTGGCTACTATTACAGTACATCTCAGAATGCTGTCGCCCACAGACATAAGGCATCTGTCACCGATCACTATCAAAAAAGAAGTTTGTGTTGTTTGTTTCCGTTTTTTTAAAGAGCAACAGTGGGAAGTCGTGGCCTAATGGTTAGAGAGTCGGACTCGTAACCCAAAGGTTGCGGGTTCGAATCTCGTACCGACAGGGATTGTAGGTGCCCTTGAGCAAGGCACCGAACCCCCAACTGCTTCCCGGGCTAGGAAGGCTATTCCAGATTTTGGGAGCCAAATGCAAAAAAGCTCGAGAAGCATGTAAAAATAAATAAATAAAAAATGGTTTTGCCTCAAGAAGTCATGTAACTAATTAATATGCTCCGAGAAGAAAAGAACTGTTGCTCTGGTGATTCTGAAATGCTGGAGCCAAAGCCTATCATCAAAATAATTGGCTACTATTACAGTACATCTCAGAATGCTGTCGCCCACAGACATAAGGCATCTGTCACCGATCACTATCAAAAAAGAAGTTTGTGTTGTTTGTTTCCGTTTTTTTAAAGAGCAACAGTGGGAAGTCGTGGCCTAATGGTTAGAGAGTCGGACTCGTAACCCAAAGGTTGCGGGTTCGAATCTCGTACCGACAGGGATTGTAGGTGCCCTTGAGCAAGGCACCGAACCCCCAACTGCTTCCCGGGCGCCGCAGCATAAATGGCGTATGTGTGTTCATGGTGTGTGTGTGTTCACTGCTGTGTGTGTGCACTTTGGATGGGTTAAATGCAGAGCAGTAATTCCAAGTATGGGTCACCACATGTCACGTCACACTCACTCACGTGGTTTCCCCATTTGCTGCTTCTTCCATTTTGTTTCATGTCAGTTTTTCCAGAGGGGATGCTTTAGTTCTCTTGAACACACAGGCACTAGGACTAAGTTCATTTTCAACAAATAGGCAAATTACAAAAAAAAAACTACCACTTCTATAGCCCTTCTCAATTCTTAAAGCACCTATATATATATATATATATATATATATATATATATATATCTATTACCATTATATGGTTTATTTTTAGATCATTTAGAACATTTTTAGAACAGTAGATTCCTTTACCTTTTACGTAATGTATGTAATCATCTTTCATGAGATGCTTCAAGCAATCAAGCTTTGTAACATTCATAGATGCAAAGCTACTGCAGATATCTTTTTATTATTATTATTATTATTATGCTGGTGGAATATCTTTAGTTACAAAGATGACGAATCACATCTTTGTGATCTACACCAAGGCTACAGCGTAGGTCTGACAAGTGTAAATTGCCCTTAACCTGTTTATAGGATTATACCACTGGAAAATACCACTTTTTAGGTTTTAGTCATTTCTATGATTAAATATCTGGTCTCATTTCACTTCAGAATGCTACAGGAGGAAAAGGAAACGTGTGTACACATGTACAGTGCTTGAGTATTTAGGTTTTGTTAATATAACATTATTTAAAAAATAATGAAGCATTGATTATTTCATGCAATGCAATTACAATTTGTGTTTCATTTAAGCATTATTTGGTTGTAAATGTAAAACTCTGTATTTGTATTTTTGAAGGGATCATCAGCAGTATCTGAACACATCCCAACAGACTCACCGGAGTCACAAGATGAGGTATTTGGTAAGAAAGTTTTTTTTGTGTTATTTATTAATTTGCATATATATATATATTTGTCTGTATATCTACTAATCAGGGATTACTGGCAAGATATGCTCAAGTCTAGTTGTGTAACGTTAAGGCTGCCACTACTTTTCTGTACTTTGAGCTGATAAAACCTGAATCCTTACATTGGAAAGCATTGTGGATGGTTCCCTAGTTTCAGCCCGGCAATAAACTGTCCAGGGGTCCAGAAACCCTAGCGGAATTCCTGCATATTGCACACAAAGCCGCAAAGCACTTTGTGCGTTTGGCAAGCTCTGATCTAACTGGATGGCTTTTACGCAACTTTCCAGAGTAAAGGGCGCACAAGTTATGAATCCATCTGGAAACCAAACCAATGTGCTGAATTGATATAAAAAGTACTAGTCACTGGATTTGATGATGTGGCAAATCAAAGATATACTCTAGTTTGGTCTTGTAATATAGGTTTGTTTAAGACAGTAAGTAGCAAGGAAACTAGATATAGATGTAGGTGTGGACAGCAGTTTATTACTGAGAAGTTGTTCCACATCGTGATATCATCAGCAGGTGGATTGCTTGAGTGGAATAATACGAATGTTTATCTTCACTCTAAATTAGGCTGCTTAAAAAAATTAAAAAATTTATTACAAGCTTATTGTGGCAATAACCATGCATACAAATACAATAATAGCTATGTTTTTCTCTGCATGTGTGTTCTGGAGTGAGTGAGCAGATGACACAGTGGTGTTTCTATTGCATGTTTAAGGTTGTTGGAGCTAACACCAGCTGGCACAGGCTCCAGAGAGACTACAGTCTTCTGCGTCCATATTCAAAAGCTCATATTGTTCAGAAAGCTAGTCTGTCACTGCCTTCACTGTTCACTGCCCAAACGTCATTGTTCACTTTCTCTCTTTCTCTCTTTTTGTGTGGAAATTATGTTATTATCTACTACTAGTCCAGTGGTTCTAACTACAGGGCTCCAAACTGCGACTAAAATGGAAAATATAAATTTGCAAGTGAAGTTTTTGCTGAGGTCGCCATTGGCATGTATATATACATGTCATAACTTAAAAATTTGCATGTAATGCCCTTTTTCCTGATTGTTTTGCAATCACATATTTTATGTTCACGTATTAAACAGACTATGCTTGCGCATCAAAGTTTTAGTGGAAAAAAGAGTTTCAAACAGTCCTCATCTCTGCCGCACAGCAGCATTTACGGCACACCTGCTAAACGCAGCTCAGTTGTGCAGCGCGAGAGAGATCGGAATGGCATGATGATATTACGCAGCGGCTGAAAATAGGCTAACTTCCGTCAACATAATCAAAGTGACCACCTGCTTGCACAGAGAGCGTGCTGGGGACTATTTTCAGGCGCTGCGTAATATCATTGCGCCTGCTGCACCCATGACTAAAATGGAAAATATAAATTTGCAAGTGAAGTTTTTGCTGAGGTCACCATTGGCGACTATATATATTTACATGTCATAACTTAAAAATTTGCATGTAATGCCCTTTTTCCTGATTGTTTTGCAATCACATATTTTATGTTCACGTATTAAACAGACTATGCTTGCGCATCAAAGTTTTAGTGGAAAAAAGAGTTTCAAACAGTCCTCATCTCTGCCGCACAGCAGCATTTACGGCACACCTGCTAAACGCAGCTCAGTTGTGCAGCGCGAGAGAGATCGGAATGGCATGATGATATTACGCAGCGGCTGAAAATAGGCTAACTTCCGTCAACATAATCAAAGTGACCACCTGCTTGCACAGAGAGCGTGCTGGGGACTATTTTCAGGCGCTGCGTAATATCATTGCGCCTGCTGCACCCATGGTACGGCAGCAAAGTTCCTTGATTATTACACCGGAATGAGAGTATAGTTCCTAGCCATATCGGCCTAGAAAATCGCAACTTTTCATTTTCCGTCGGTCTTAGTACACGATGTAACTACAGAAGAGTCAGGTTTTAAATAGGAAAAATATAGAAACTCTTTGGTCATTTTTGAGCGAGATGCTAACGGTCTAATCAGATTCAATGATCTATGCTAAGCTACAGCTAAAAGTGCTACCGCCAGACCCGGAGATCGGCTGAACGGATTCGAAAATGGTAAAACTCAACTGTTTAACTCTAGGGGAGTTGGAAAATGAGCCTATTTTTAAAATAGTGGAGTGTTCCTTTAAAGGACCATCTCTTTCTCAACTTTTTATTATCTGAAGATGTTTAAGGTTCTTTATGAAACCATTTAGACAAAAAAGGTTCTTCTATGGCATCATGAAGCACCTTTATTTTTAAGAGTGTATGACAACATTTACAGGATGCATTGAGGAAGAGCCCAAACTACACTCAGTTGCCAAGTGATGCTTATGGTCCACGATATTGGTACAGATTATGTGTAATGAACAATTCTTTGTGACTGTACATTTCAAGCTGGAAAAGACATTTAGTTCCCACTTTAAGTGAACCTTAGTTCCAAGGTCATCTACAAGATGGATTCAAATGCTGATAAAGTCAAGAAAAGATGAGACATCAACACATGACAGTAAGATTGAAATGTTAAAATGTAAAATAAATAAATAATACTAATAAAATAAATAAAACGTGTTTATTCTGTGGCACCTTAAAAAATAATTTGGTAAAACGTTTTTTTCTTATAGGAGCCAATGGTTCCTTACTCGATTTTTTTGTCTCGAACCCTGAACTACAAACTATTTTAAACAGCATTTTTTTTTCTTTGATCATTAAAGATGCAGTTTGTTTATTTATTCATTTTTAATGAGATTACATTAACTGACAAATTGCATGGAAACTACATCAGAACCATTTGTGAGTTAACTGGGAAAAAATTAAAGATAATGGAACACTTTAAAGAAATGGTGGTCAGTTACAGCACCTGCAATATAGATTTTCTCTTATACATTTAGCCTATGTACATTTTAATTGCAAATATTAATGTTAAAAAAGTTCATGTTCGTATTTGGTGTAGTTGCCCTGGAGTTTAGTGTTTTTTTTCCCCCCCATATAGAATCAAAATATAATATAGAAGCCAGATATTTGTAGAAGTTTTTCTGTTTACCTTTTATTCCCTTAAAATGTCTTAATTCATGTGTAATCATATTGTATATTTGACACTTAAACATCAAATAAAGGAATTTGAGCTTGAAAAAAAATCAATTGCTGCAAACGTATGGGCCTACATGTTTAGACTACTGAACATCAAATTATTCATTTGATGTTCAGTAGTCTATAAAAATGATTAATTTGATGTTCAGTAGTCTATAAAAATGATTAATTTGATGTTCAGTAGTCTAAACATGTATATGTTTGCAGCAATTGATTTTTTCAAGCTCAAATTCCTTATTTGTTGTTTAAGTGGAAAAGCAATGCTCAAATAATAACATTATTTATTTTTCTTGTTAGCAAATCCAATCCAGTTAATGTTTTAGTAGTGTATCATGCCATTGTATTTATTCTCCTCATTAGAACTGCAGTAGAAAGAGTTTTGAATAAATAAGAGGAAAGTAATTCTCTCAGCACAGTTTACGTTTTACCATATTTAAATCCAGCACAGTATCAGTGCAGAAAGTGTGAATATGTTGTGTTTGTAACACGTGTATTTGTTAACACTGCTTCACTGATTTACGTTTGGCAGTGCCGAAATATTTGTGAACATTCTTATATAAATTCAGTGAAAAAATGGAAAACACAGCTTTTCTAATTTACTCATGTTATTTGTGATCTTTTTCTTCCTAACTTGATGTGCAATACTAGATAAAATTTTCAAGGGCAAATATTAACTTTATTAATTTTAACAAATAATAACTTAAAATATTGAGCTCTATCGTGCATAGTCAAGTATGTACACTTAGAGCTCAATTTATTTTTGCTGTAGAAATGACTGAAGCTGTACTTCTCAGTATACTTTGCATGGGTTTTAATGGAGAGAGTAAAGAGGGAGACCTAATAGTATTTAATGTTCAGTTATGTAGAGAACCGTTTCAGTTACACAGGGTTATCATTGTGGTGCTTTTACATAAAGAGGATGTTTTGGCAGGTTTATTCAATGAGCATTTAATACTAAGCATTTAAAGGGATAGTTCACACAAAAATGAAAATTCTGTCATTAATTACTCGTTCTGTCGTTAATTACTCATGTCATTCCAAACCCGTAAGACCTCCGTTCATCTTCGGAACACAAATTAAGATATTTTTGATGAAATCCGAGAGCTTTCTGACCCTCCCATAGACCGCAAGGATCCTAACATGATCAAGGCTCAGAAACATAGTAAAGACATCATTAAAACAGTCCATGTGCCATCAGTGGTTCAACCGTAATATTCATTTAACCGTAATTGTTGAATAAAGTCGTTGTTTTTGTTTTCTTTGTGCACATAAAGTATTCTCGTAGCTTCGTAAAATTACGGTTGAACCACTGATGACACATGGACTGTTTTAACGATGTCTTTACTACGTTTCTGGACATTGATTGTGGTAGGACCCTTACTGTCTATGGAGGGTCAGAAAGCTCTCTGATTTCATCAAAAATATCTTAATTTGTGTTCTGAAGATGAACGGAGGTCTTACGGGTTTGGAACGACATGAGGGGGAGTAATTACTGACAGAATTTTCATTTTTGGGTGAACTATCCCTTTAACATGCTTATTTAGCATGGTAATATGTGCTATTGCTAGCTAATTGTTTGTTCATTCACCAGCTAACGCAATCTTTTAATTAACTGATGTGACAAAAATATATAAAATTGAATACACTGTCAGGGAAATCAAAATCACTTTGACACTGCTTAAGTCATTTACAAATAACTTCATTCCATTATGTGAAAGTGATGTGAACAAATTATGTTTGTGTAACTGATTCATTTGGTTATATCTTGATTAAATCATGCAAATTCAGCACACTTTTTTTCCCCCAGTGTTGTTCAATTTTCAAACTTTGTGCAGTGTGTGAAAATGTCAACTTTCAAATTCTGTTCTTAGTTCAAAAAG